CGCCCCTCGGGGCATTGGGCCGGACGCCCCATACGCCCCCCTTACAAAGCCAGAGCCGGGCAGCGCACGTCCTGACCGCCACCGGGCAAACGCACAGGGGCCCGCGCCGGCCGCGCCGAGATGGGGGCGGCTCAGTGGGGCTGCGCCCCCCTCTCCCCCCCTCTCCCCGCAGACCTTCGGCGCCGACGACGTGGTCTGCACGAGAATCTACGTGCGGGAGTGAAGGGCCACCTCGTCCTGCAGGGCGTGGACACACGTCTGGACCCCGAGGGCCAAGCCATCGCTGCTCCCCCAGCCCCTGTAGGCCCGGCCCCGCCCCCGCCCCCCCAATAAACTGCTTGGCCACCTCTGAGGCTTCCGCTTCCTGGACTGCGCCCCGGGCGTGGGGTGCTGGCCGCGGGGTGCTGGCCGCCCGGGCCCAGGGACGCGCTGGAGAGGGGCCTGGAACCAGGAGAAGCCTCGCTATCTGCCCGCTCCGCCGTCGGCTGCCGCCAGACCAGGCCGGGGGTGGGCAGACAGGCGCTGGCTCCTCCCGACACAGCCCCCGTGGGCACGAGTCCTGCCAGCTGGGGCTTCAGAGTTGAGCCAGGCGCTGGCTCTGGGCCTCCTGGCCACTGGCCCCGGCGCCTGTCGGGCTGTGGCGTGGGCGGCAGGGCCTGGGCGTGGAGGTGGCCACTCAGGTGGCGCCATGCGGAGGACGTGACAGGTGCCCGCCCGGGGAGCACCCGGGCCCTCGGTGGCCACTGTCCGGGCAGTGCCATCTCCAGGCGGTCTCGCTGTCCCCGCCCCAGCCCGGCTCGGGCCCCGGAGGGCCGCAGGCTGGACGGGGTCCGGTGTGTGGGTCGCCGCCTTCCGCCGTCCTGGCTCTCACACTCCTGCTGCAGCCGAGGTCCGAGGCCCTGGCCAGCTGCTGAGCGCCTGCGCCCGGGCCGGGCAAAGGGCAGTCTGGCCGCTCCGTCCACACCACAGACCGTGGAGCCAGAGCGAGGCGGGCTCCCGGTGCACGCGCTCGGCAGGGCAGGCAACGTTCGGCACCCCGCGGTCAGC